GACCAGAGAATCTTGTTTCTCACAGTCTTAGAGTCCTTTAGGTGCTTTTTTTCTCCAAACTCCAAGCTGCTTTCATGTGTCTTTTGCTGAGGAGAGGCTTCAGTCCAGTGGACCAGACCGGTGGAGCGCTGCAGCGATGGTTGTCCTTCTGGAAGTGTCTCCCATCTCCACACAGGATCTTTGGAGCTCAGCCAGAGTGACCATCTCTTACCAAGGCCCTTCTTCCCCCATTGCTCAGTTTGGCTGGGCGGCCAGTTCTAGGAAGAGTCCTGGTTGTTCCAAGCTTTTAAGAAATATAGAGACCACTGTACTCTTGGGAATCTTCAGTGCAGCAGGAATGTTTTTGTAGCTGCGACACAATCCTGTCTCTGAGCTCTGCAGGTCGTTCCTTCCTCCTCATGGCTGATATGTATTTTCATCTGTGAGACCTTATATAGACAGGTGTGTGATTTTCAAAATCAGGTCCAATCAGCTGAATTAACCACAGGTGGGCTCCAATCAAGGTGTAGAAACAGCTGAATAGGCTACTTCTGAAAATGTCTCAATACTTATGTCAATGTTATATTATAGTAAACTGAATATTTTGGGGTTTTTGTCATGTTGGTTGAACAAACCAGGACTTCTGATGACGTCATCTTGTGCCTTAGGATATTGTGGTGGATATTTTTCATTGTTTTCTATTTCTGTAGAACAAATGATTAATCAATTAATCTGAAAGTAATTGGCATTAAAATAATTGTTAGTGGCAACCCTAGACAGCCCTGGGATAAAACTGTTCCACAGGACAAAAATCAAATAAGAAAAAAATAAATCATCCAGATGTCAAACTTCCTCTAAATGTCTCTTTATTTTTACTCCACATTTTGTTAAACAGCACAGACACAAAGGCTTAGCAGAGGCTATCATGACCCTTTAATGCAGCCCCATCACAGTGGCCCATATTTATGGCCTCGAGTTTCTGTCCACCCAAATTATTCACATTACATCATATTATTTTTTCCAAATTTGCTGTTCTGTGTGTGTGTGTGTGTGTGTGTGTGTGTGTGTGTGTGCGCGCGCGTGCGTGTGTGTGTGTGTGTGCGCGTGCGTGTGTGTGTGTCTATGTATGTATGTCCAACTTTGTAGGACTGAACAAAATGGTAATTGAGTGTTTAAAGTGGTCACCCAACATCAAAGTTCAGATTTTATTCCATTACATCATCCATATGTCTGATTGCTGCGCTCTCAAGCAAGACCCCAAACCTCGCCCTTCACCGGTGTGATGAAAAATACGACCCCACAGTTTTCCTGTTTTTTCACATTCCACTCTCCCATGCTCCCCTCCTTTCCAGTCCTTGAATCGTCCATATTAATTAGCTGTGCTTGTTTAGAAGCTCATCTATATTTCAGCAGCTTGATTCATAATTCAAACAGGAACCTGAAAGATCAACTGAGTTGTTATTTTGCCATAATTAGATGATTGCCTGTTGTGCTTTTCCACTCTGACGGAGGATGGAGAAGCACTGAAGCCATCAACTGTGTGGCATCCAGAGAGGGGGTTGGGGGGGGGGATCTGAGAAATGATGATGCAGTAAAATAATCGGTTGTGACAGGCTGCAGTGTTGCTTTGTGAGCTGCAGGTGACTCTTTCTGGCTCACTTTTTACAGAGTGCAGCGTCTCAGTCAGACTGTCATTGTCAAGTACTTGTATATTTGTGGTCACTGTCAAGTGTGAATTTGGGGCCATAAACTTGTATCTAATAATACTGTGTGTCCTGCGCCCTTGTTGTACTCCATGAAAATGTGTGTGTATGTGTGCTGGCCTTGTAGTAAAGCCTGAAGATGCCTTTTCCACCGCAGTGTGTGGCAGTGCTTGAAGTGAGCCGGTAGCCACCGCTTCGCAGTACCGGCACTTCTTTACGTTACTCTTTAGCGTGCCGTTACTTTTTCTAGCGCACCGGCACTTCTCACTAGCTGCCGAGACTCTTCAGCCCCCTTCATTTCAGGTTCTGGGCGATTGCGATTGACCCCGGTGTTTGTTTTTGTAAAAAACGGGTCGGGAGATCTGACAGTAAACTCAACAAACAAGTGCCCCGCCCACAGCACCATCTGATTGGTTATACGTCACGAGTAATAGCCTATCACGCTGAAGGCTACTGTGTACGCAAACTGTTACAGACGTCAGCAACTCCGGTTAACGAGCGGAGCTGTGTGTCCAAGGTAAGAAAGCGACTGAAGATGACTGAAGATATAATAATCATCACAATCCTCTACACTGAAGTTACAACAACACCACACTCTGATGAACAAGTTCACCTGTTGATTCAAGGCACACCGAGAGAGAGAGAGAAAGAGGGAGAAGCTAGCGCTAACTGCTAAGCTAAAGTAACTAGCATCTCAATAGCTTGTAAACAACTGCTGAGTTAGTGAAAGTCGCTAAAAGAAGCAGAGAGCTGTGGGTGCTGGAGCAGAACTAGTGTAAGTTTAAATGTGCAGCAGGTAGTTAGACACTGTGATGAAGAAAACAGCAACATTAACTGTGTTCAGACAGAGCAGCAATAAACTCTACCGGTAACAGAAACTCCAGAGACTGGACATGAGACACAACACTGACGTCAGCATGTCAGCACGTGGAGGGTTACTAATGACTGATACTGAAAAGACATTTTACTCCAGTAGAAGTAAAATCACTGTGTGAAAATGTTCTCAGATAAAAGTATGGTGTAAGTCAGTTAAAATGTCTCTGAGTAAATGTGTTATATTTTAAAAGGGGAGGGATAAAACCTCTTATTTGGTGATAGTAATAATATGTGATAAAATATGTGATAAAAATTAAAGAACGTCTGCCAATTGTATCAGTTCAGCACTGAAATCAACCAATTCATTCCAGTCAGGCACTTTGCAGCCTGTGCATACAACTGATTATTAATACTATACACTCAGTTGTCAGTTTATTAGGAACAGGAAGCTAAAACCGATGTAATCTAAAACAACAGTCCTGTAGTAAAACCTCCTGCATGAAGGTTATAATCAGTTCTTATTAAAATTGTTACTGATTATTTTGCACTTTTTTTTCCACTTCAAGCACTGGGTGCAGAAGGTGTGAGCCGCTCTGGGACTTACACGCGGCAGAGGTCTTTCTTAACTTGTTTACGCCAGGATGTAGTTTAAAAATCAGGGTTAGATCAGCCATTGTTATTTTATGTTATCAGCTGTTGGATCTCCTGGACCAGGACATGTGATCTTGATGCTAGTAGAGAGGTGATTTAACATATAGGGAGGTACTGTCATCAATCTGTTTTGACTATAAAGCAGTTTTAAACAAGAGCAATTGATTAAGCCTGTTGGCAGTGTGTGAAGGCTGTGCATTGTGGCTAGCTTGTTCCCAGCCATGTTTCGCTGGACTGATTCTCAAAGAGGAGAGAGTCTTTGAATTCCAGCATCAGGCGGGATAAAGTGAGAGAACTGCCTCGAGACGTTTGCTTTTGTATCCGTAGCTGAAAACTATAAAACGCTCAGTGGTCTAATCTGAGGGATGTGAGAGATACTGCTGTTGCCTCGTGCTTCATGGAAAAGAAATAAAAATGTCTACGGCTTAAACAAAGATAATAAATAAGCAGTCTTTAAAGGGTCAATATTAAAACAACCGATCCATCAAGAGAGGCCCTTTAGATGCATCGAGTGAGAGAAAGAGATGAGGCAGAAGTGTGAAGATGAAAAAAATCTTTGTGATGCATTTTTATTCTGTATCATACAGCTTTGTAACCTATAGATAAAAACAGTTTAAATTAATTCTATTCTATGGAAAAAAAATTTATAAAAGCCTGGACAGATTATAGTTATACTATAGAAGAATGGATGCAATATTAGTCTATGCCTATGGTGTATTTCCTTAAAACATAAGTTAAAACAGTGCAATAAGGCCAGAAAACCAAGTGCCTCATTTACCAAAGGTCCTCAGCTGCACATTTTTCACTTAAGACGAAGTCAAACAGCTACCTGGGAAAAAAAAGTCCATATTAATGTCTCCAATACTGTGTGATCAATTTCTTTAATTATCTGAAGCTCCGAGCCCTCAGATATCATTTTCATTTCTTTTTCCCACCACATCTTCTTAAATGATCCTCATCGGAATCAGGGATAACGTCAAAGATAATTTTACCCCCACCGAGGAGATTTTATTTTCCGTTTCTTCGTCTGTCTGTCAGCAGGATATCTCAGTAACCGAGGAACAGATTTGGGGGACAGGACAGCCTTGGGCCAAGGGACACATGATTAGATTTTGGTGGTGAGCTGGATCTAGGACTTCTTCAATTAGACAATTATCATTTTTAGCTGTGATTTTTAGCTGACTTTCAATTCCAAAGAGTGTGTTTGCAGAGTCACCGTCAAGTGTCTCCTACGTATGAATAAAGCTCCGTGAGTGAAGATTTTATTTGCATTTTCATTTGCCTCAGGACCCAAGGTTTAGTCCTAAAAACTGCCTGTTCTTTTGTTTTCTTGTCTTGTTGATGTGAAGGGGATTGAGTTTAGGAAAACAAGGTCAAGGGAAGAACCAATGAATTTAGAAAGAGATCCCACTATATTGCCATTAAGAAGACCACTCATTCTGCCGGCTTTGCTTGTTTACACTGAACCAAACAACGTTGGCACGCTGCTGCCCCAGTGTGCGATTTTAGAGAGCATGCAGGCGTCTGTCCCATCACACCAGCTCTGCCTTTTACACAGACGTTGATCCAGCTCTGTGACTACTTCTGCTGCTGGCATAAAGGCAGAACAACAATGCCAACCCCATTCTGTAATTGTAGATTTTATACAGAATGTCAAGGCAGAATAAAGACGAAAGGTTTCCAGCTCATGACAAATTTTCAGCTATGTTTGAGTCTGATTGCTTCAGCTGATGTTTTGCCTCTTTCATGGGTTGTGCTGAGTTTTCAGATGACCAGCTGCGCAGATATGTTATTCTGTTGGCATTAAGCTCCTTCCAGTCGGGCTATACAGTATGTGTGTGAGGAAAAGTAATGGCACAAGCAGAAGGTAATGGTGATGGTACTGATGAATGCAAGACCTGTTTGTATTGTTGTTGAAATCTTTGACAGAATAGTTTGGAATTCTGGGAAATGTGTTTATTCGCTTTCTTGGGGGTTAAAGTCAAGTATAACCTCTTCTCTTCCTGCCTTCTGAAAACACTTCGGGCATCTTGCTTGATAAGTGCTCTGTAAATGATGTCATCATTATTATTGTCATATAACACTTCAGAATCAGGTTCTTTGGAACATTCTCTGCTCATCGGTGTGCATCGTTTCAGATGACTTCTTTCAAGATTCACACACTGTAATGACACCTGACACTGATGTTATGAGGACAAACGTCTCACAGCATCACAACCCTCCTACTGATGATCCTAACTGACCTCTTTCCTCCCTCTTTCCTCCCTCTCTCCTCTCCTCTCCTCCCCCCTTCACCCGTCTCTCCTCCTTCTCTCCTGTCCAGATGCAAGGTGTGCCGTCCCCCCCTCCTATCATCATCACCATCATCGCACCCACGCCCACTCCTTCCACGCTCCCTCCTACGACCGTCCCGCTCACGAACATCCCACCTACGACCGTCCCTCCTTCGACCGTCCCTCCTTCGACCGTCCTTCCTTCGACCGTCCCTCCTACAACCGCCCCTTGCACGACCGCCCCATCTACGACCGACCCTCACACGACCCTCCACCCCACGACCATTGGAACCCCCGTCTCCGTGTGAGCTCCGGAAATCAGCTCTACATGTTGGACCAGGAGGAGGTATTGTTCTTCACACACCAGGAATGCACTGATACTGATACTGGTTTTGCAGGAGGGATTGCTAGTTAAAGGTCCCATATAGTGTAAAGGCAGATTACCATGTGTTCTTTGATTATAAAGCAGGTCTAGGTTTTATATTAACACTGTGAAAGTATCAAAGCCTCAGTCCACAGAGAAACACCTACAGCCTGTATTCAGAAACTGAGCCTTAAAATGAGCCGTCAGGACTTCTGTAACTTTGTGATGTCACAACTAAGCAGCCACTGCTCTCAGCCAAGCCCAGCCCATCCAAATCCACCATCCAGTCTTGCAGGAATTGGTTTCTCTGAGTGTTTACCTGAAATCTGCTAGATTTGTGAAACTACATTGAGATGGTTTTTGGTTCTTAAAACCACAAATATATCTTTTGACGGATATCACAAATTCAAATAAAACTCTGGAAAAGTGTAAAATATGGGACCTTTAAAAAAAAATGGGGCATGAGTATTACAAATCTTTGGCATTCATCATGTAAGAAATGAAATAAAATGAACAAATATAGCTTCGTACTAATAGAGGACTTGAGCCCTCTCTAATTTAGAAAGTGGAATACATTTCACTTACTTTGACATCTAAGATATTTGATGACACAGTGAAGTGGATTGGTTACAGAAGCCCAGGCCACTTGGGAATATCTGGTTGGTGCTGAAAATTTAGTGTCTGAGTTTACCTGCAAACGGAAAAGTTACACATTCAATGAATGTGTCAAAAGTATATTTTTAAGGCTCCATGATTCAATGTATATGCCCCGTAATATTCTGTATGATAGTACATTCATGTTACATACTACAGGAGGGCTGACTGTCTTTGCAATTTGTCTTGTAAAAGCAGTGTAATATGTCACAGCTAAAACACTAGAGCTGTAGGTTCTATATGAAGTATGAAGAATTAAGTTTTTATTATTATTATAACTACGGTTAAGTCCTGTAGCTGATTACAACTTGTATCCACTTCTAAATTAGTAAGAAATCCAAATGCGCTATGTTCTGTGTCTCGAAAATCAATTATTCTGGCATTTGTTGACTTTTCTTTTGCCACTTGACGACTCACAGCAACATTAGCATTCATTTGGAGCCGTGTTTCTGGCTACCTGAAAGTTCAATATTCACTATCCTTTTCTTCCAACTCCTGAGAAAACATATCTGTCTCTTTAGCTGTTCAGTGCTATATAAATTATTAGTGCAGCTTTAATAAATATTTCATCTCTTCTGTCTTTTTTATTTGCAAAAAACAAGATAAAACAGTCAGTGATTCAACTAAATAGCAAATATAAAATCTATGAGGCACAACCTGAGTTTTAGTATGAAATAAATATTCATAAATATTGAATCAGTTGTAACATAAAGGGTTCTGCACCTAACAATTATTTTCATTATTGATTAATCTGCTGATTATTTTGATTAATTGATTGTTTAGTCTAAAAATCATTAGATGTCTTATTTTGTTTCATCAACAAACCCCCAAATATTTGATTTACCATAATGCAAGACAAAGAACAGCAACAGATTCTCGCATGTGAAAACATCATATTTTCTGCATTTTTGCCTGAAGATTGACTGAAACGGTGAATCAGTTATCAGATTGATCACTTTATTTCGATTGACTAATTGATTAATTGACTGCTTATTGTAGCTCTAAACTTAAATTCCTGGAAGTTAAAAACCTGAATAGGCTACAAAGGGGCTTTAAAATGATTCTGATGTGATCAGCAGATTCTGCACTGGACCCGGATGCTGAATCTAATCACAACTCCAACTACTTCAAAAGAGTTGATCAATATGTGAGGTGTATCCCTGCTCTAGTGTGTGAACATGGCTGGGAATGAAGGCAAAGATGAACAAAACAAAACACTTCCGTCTGTCTTTTTGAGTAAAACATACAGTAGGTTGAGTTCTAAGCCCGGCCTTTCATGAGATAGTTTCACGGAGTCTTTGTGCTACTTAGAGAACCCTACTTTTCAGCTAATGTCTGTTAAAAAGGAGGTCAGAGAGAGAGAGAACGTATCTGGAGTCGATCCCAGACGCTCCAGCTTCCCTGGATCACTGTCGCCTCAGGCTCGCTTTTGGGGGTTCATTTTCAAGGGCAGTTGTTAATTCTGTGGGAAGTTGTCTGTGGTTGAAAACTTTTGTTAATTCTCTGCGTTGTTGTAACTGGATCATAAGTGTGTAACCAGTAACTTCAAAGTGGGATGTTGGGTTATTTTGGCTCTCTCTCAACCTCTGTGGTCCACTTCAATAAGTTTGTTTTTTTAATACATTATCTTATGTCCCGTCAACAACCAGCTGCAGAGATCCACTTAGTTTTTCATTTAGGTAGAGAAAGTCATTTTATTAGCTTGATAAATGCAAGACGACAAGTTATTTTTCAGAGGAGAAACAGCAAGTGCCTCCTGTAGTTGTAGTTCTAGTGTATCTGTAAACACTTTACGTCCCCCTATTTATTAGTTATACATAGTATATTAACATGGGTTATAACACACTTTAACATAACTATAGTTATAACTATAACTGACTGATGAATAAATGGATGATGAGTGACAAAATAGTAAAAGTAAAACACAGTTGTAATAATATAAAATGTGTATGAGGTGTTGAACTGCTGACAAATACTTAAAATGAGTTCATATTATACCACATTATAGTGTATTATAAACTATTTCATATATCATATCATATAAATGGTAAATCTTATCTTATTCACAATGTCAGACACACTGACACCAATCCCAGTTTTAGATTCATGTCATCCATGTTTGACAAGAAACAGAAAGGAAATAAACAAATAATAAAAATAAGAATTAAACCTATTAATAACTATTTACACGTGTATTCGGTACCTGATAAATCTTATCTTCCCCTGTGCCTCATAGACCTCCATCCATCCATCCATTCCACATTGTTGTACTAGCTGACATGTTCTTTCATTACCTGGGCACTGTAGTTTATTGTTGAATCAGTCCTACATGTTCTTGGTGCCATAAATACTCACTACACCACCCAATGTGTATTAACAAAAAAGTATTGATAGAAAAGTCCCCAACAAATGCACCATTCACTCCTGTTGGAGTGATGTTTGCTAAAAACTACTGTGCTCAGCTGTTTTAGGAAATGACTGACCCTGTTTTACAAATAAAACCTTATGCATGTGAGCTACTTTTGAAGATTTATGTCTTTAGTAGGAACAAATGAGCTTGGTGCTGAGTTCCACAAATGGGGAAGGGAAGTTGGAAACTGCTGAGAAACAGACTTTGCTTGTTGGTTTCAGTCTTTTCATGGTATTTGTTGACAATTAGAAAAATGTAGGATAACACCAGCTCCACTCTTTAATGGTGTGAAAGCTGAGAGCCTTTTCCATTCCAGTTCCCTGGCATAGTTTTGAACACACTGTCAACCAAATGAAGCACGTGACCCACTTATAGTATTGTTAGCGTAGCCTACCTGGGTGGCTGTATTGATCTGTGCTGTATGATACTCCACCATGTTAATTAGTTGCTAATTAAAAACATTACGGACAGCAGCTTTAACGTCCTTCAGGGTTCATTTTTAGTTTTATCATATAAATTTAAATTAAATATAAGTATTGGATAGAACATTAAAGGCCCAGTTAAAGTCTGACAGGATGATGGAAATGAAAACAGAAACTACAAACTGGAGGAAGGAGAGAGAGCTCTCACTCAATTATTTTTATTCTCTCTTTCCCCAGTTGGTTACAGATTACGTGAAATAGGCACAACAGCATGTTAGTGTTGATCAACTTGACTTTTCTTGTTCCCAAGTTTCTGTATTGATGCACCAAACACAGACAGTGCATCACTAAAACCTGCTGTTGGTCGTGAATAAAATCTCATCTTGCTCTTCGGTCCAGGAGAGGGTAGTGTTCCTCAACTTTTCTACCTCTGCCTTGCAACTAAAGACTTACATCTACACACAGAATAACACAGTTTAAGCCAAGACTGCTGATTTATAACACCACTTAAAGCACCACCTTTAATGGAGCAGAGCCGGGTGAAAGCCATAGGTCACCTCCCCAAACTTTGCAGGGCTGTTATTAGACCATATTTATGCTGATATAGTTTTTAATTTGGTTTAAAGACCTAAACTGTGCAACATCAGCACTTTGCAGAAGTAAAATGAGGTAGCTGCATGTGCAGGCAGGTGGTAATACAGTTTTTAAAAAATCTTTTATTTATTGTATTATCTTAGTTTTTGTATTTTTAGTTATCCACCTCACTGTTTGTAATAACTCATGTAGTCTGTGTATCAGCAGTGTGTATTAGTGTATGGCACATGATTTAAACCCGGCACTGAGGCAAATTTCTATGTTCAGCCATGCTGGCACGTCAATAAAGTAATGAATCCTTATGTGGCCAGTCAAAGCATATGGGTGGCGACTTAACCGTAGTGTGTGTTCACGGCTGCCAATAGTATTCAACTTGTCATCACTCAGAGGAATAGAGCGCTCTGTGATCCCGATAAGAGACCTGAGCTGCTCTGGAGGGATTGTATGGAGAGCCCAGTTCAATTAATCAGAGCCCCATCCCTGTCTAATTGTGCCAATAAGGCAGCAGCTGTGAATGGATCCGAGGCAGGACTGACGTGCTGATAGCCGTCACCTCGGCGACGGCGAGAGGCGTTAAATATTCATGCCTGTCACTCACCTCATGCAGAGCGGGTGTCTCTCTCTTCCTCTGTGTTTCGTACACACACACACACACACACACACACACACACACACACACACACACACACACACTCTCACTCACCCTTCAATTTATTTCCATTCGTTTTAGATGGCTCTTCAGTGGCTCGGCAAAAAAAAAGCAATCACACTGTACATTTCCATAGCGGAGATACGGAGGATCAGTGGAGGACCTCGCTCCTTTTTCCTCAGCGGTGTTGCTGCCTCCTGAACATTTTGATATCAGCCCATCTTAAATACACACCTTTCAACTCTCTGATTTT